AGTACTGAAAATACTCTTGTAGCAAAAATTAATAAACAAGTTGTAAAGGGAAGAGTGGAAAACGAGCAGATGGATGACCTGATGGTAAGCAATCTGCACCGCCCATGGCAAAAGGAGTGAAACAAGCAACACAAATCATTTTACAAATATCTGTAGTGTCTTGAGCAATATTAATACCACGGCCTCACAGAAAACCGGCGTGAAACAACCACAGCATTGTGTTTCGCCGTGTGAGTGGGTTGCCGGAGGCCCGATCCGTCCCCTCCCCCAATCCCTAAATCTCTAAAACCCTAATCCCCAAAAGATCTGTTGTTGCAACAAGAGTTACGAGTGCGTTGCAGACCGGGTGTCCATGGACGGCGCTGATTGCTTACCATCAGGCAATCCTCTGCTCGGTCTATCACATAAAAAAAAACTTAATACCTATAGTAGTCATATTTAAATTCTGTACTGAATTATGTACAATTTAATTCACAAAATAAACCTTGGTGTATACAACAAAATCAAAATAAAGAGAGAGAAATACCTATATTATTGTAATTGTACTTATAACCATGTATTTTCAAGTCAGTTTTCTAAGGAAACCACAAAACTAAAGCACTGATAAACAATGCATATTTTTTTCTAGCAAATAATGTTAGATTTTTGTCAATCCAAAATCACGACTTAGCTTTCAAATTTTGATTTGAAAAGAAATATTTTAACGACTGCTGAAAGAGGTTCAAATCAGAAATCCCACTGACAATTAAAAATGTGACTGAAAAAAAAATTATACTACTAGACTGATTGAAAAATATCTTACCTTACCATAGTCCGGAGTATTAATAAAACAGATCACTATACACTCTTACTTTTCTACATAATATATATGTATATTACACATTCAGAACTCAATTGGCACCTCTTGCATAACAAGTTTATAGCCTAAATTTTGCAACGGAGCAAACTTTTCAACAACCGGATTGAACTGACTGTACTCCGTTAATTCCACAATAGGAGCAGGGATCTCAAAGTCCACTGATTGCATATAATCATCATCTTCCTCAATGTTCAAATCATCGAATCCATTCTGGCTTATTTCTTGCAGATTATCAAAATGTATTTCTGGTCTTGCATCTTGGAACGGCATTTCTGGATGTTTGAGACGGATGCACTTGTGTGTACGGAGGAGTGAGGGCCAGACAAATGTTTCCTCGCATACGTTGCATTGTAGCGTCTCGTAGTTTGAATGTTGTGTTTCAATGTGGCGATTAAGGCTGCTGTTTGATGAGTAATATTTGAAGCAGGTCTGTAAAAAAAATGAAACAATGAATTTATTTTTGCAAATAGGCCATAAAACGGCACTTTTACACGTTCGATTTATATGCGAAAAACTAGATGAAGCAAAATTATGGGTATTATTCAATGACTGATGAAGTTCCATTTCTTTGTTCCATCTGCATGTAACTCATGTTATAACAAATAAATGACCTATCTATCTATCTATCTAAGTAAAATAAAAAGGGAATATACATTTAGGTGATCAATTAATCACTGTCCAGTTTTGAGTTATCGTAAGTATCGCAAAAGCTATAGCGAAAGAGTTTTTTTTGTGAGGGGAAAATCATCAAATGACTTCTCCCGCCCAGGGACGGGAGGGAGTGAAAGACTCTTACTGACTAAAAACGCCCCCTGTTCCTTCTCCTGCTCTGGGCCGAGGTCGCGGTGCCTCATTGCGCTTACCCCGCAACCCCGGCTGAACATCAGCCCTATAGGGCCCCGTCTGTGGTGGTCTATTGGCGGAGCGAAAGATCTGAATTCGCGAATTGTAAGAAATATTCGATTTATTGGAGTTTTTTTCACATTTTCATTGGTCTGATAAAAAATATTTGTGAGGCTGGGTTTCGCGTAACCTCATAAAAGCAATTCACGCCAGTTATTTGTGAGGTTGTAGTATAGTATAACTTTGGTCAAGCCAAAGAATTGATCTCCCGTATACCTGGGCCACACTGACGGGAAATGCCAATAATAATATCGCGAGAATTGATGATATTAAACAATGAAAAATATACGTTAAGTCATTTTTTTTGTGATCAAATTTCACCTCATATAAATATTTATTGGCATTTCCCGTTAGTGTGGACTAAGCAAAATGGGTCAGAATGTTGGGCTCTGAAAAAGACGGATTAAAAGCGATTGCATTTAGCAGAGATGAGAATGCTGAGATGGATGTGTGGTGTGACGAGAATGGATAAAGTGAGAAATGAGTATATTAGAGGAAGTTTGAAAGTGGCGCCAGTGACTGAAAAGTTAAAAGGGGACTGTTTGTCTTGGTATGGCCTTGTGAAAAGGAGGGATGAAACACATGTTACAAAAAAGCCATGAGTATAAATGTGGATGGATGGAGAGGGAGAGGGATACCAAAGAAAATATGGATGGATTGTATGATATGGAAGACAGAGGAGTTAGTGATAGTGTAACGGGTGACAGAACAGAACGGAAGAAAAAAACATATTGCGCCGACCCCAAATAAAACGGGACAAGGACAGGAAGATGATGTGGACTAAGCAATATAAATAAAGAGATTTAAGTAAGGGAGTGTGGACTAAGCAATATATAAATAAAAAGATTAAAGTAAGGGAGTCCACAGACACAGCACTGCATAGAATATAGCTACCGCTCCCTACTCGCTGTCCTGGGTCAGCTAAGGTAACCAGAGTGCATATTATGAAGTTTAAAATTGCATATTTTTAAATCCACCATGGAACAAGAGAAATATTAAATTGTATGTAAATGCAATAATAGTGAAGTTGATCTACCCTCTTTGAGAAGCTACTACTCAATGTTTTAAATTATGGACTCACCTGACATTGAAACCTAGAAATAATAGTCTTTTTGCTTTTCGGATCAACGATAGGCTTCTTAATATTTCCATGATGAATATCAAACTTTTTCACATCAACAAATGGAACAGTATCTGTAAGAACTTTACCACCAACTTTAATCTTCTCCAAAACTATCTTCGGTTGTAAAAAGAGTGGTAGCGGTTCACCATACTTGTACGTCATTTTCAAATCTTTCTTTACCTTTTTCCGTTCTTGAGAATTGTCACTGGTTATTAGAAAATGTGTCCATTTATGTTGTAACATGTCAGATTCAGTGTCAAACTTTTTAAAGCATTGATCACAAAAGTAATAGTCTTTATAACCAGTCATAGCTTTATTTGTTAAGTCCGGTAACATTTGTACATGAAATTCTAAAGCATCTCGTTCAACGGAGCTTTCTTCGCAGAAGTTACATAAGTACAGTCTCTCGTTACCCAAGTTACGCATTGCATATAAGCACGTTGGTCTGTCATTTGAGTGTAAGAATGCAATATGATGAGCTAATGCACATTTACTGGTGCACTGATCCTTGCAGACATCACATACGTAACTTATCGAGGAATGATCATAACTGTGATCCTTCAAATCCATAAATCTGAAATATATATCATCACAAATCTTACAAGTGTGTCTTTTCAACACACGACATACATTCCTTCGATGGTCATTAAATTTCAGTTTGTTAGGTAAAAATTCTCCGCATACATCACAGTGTAACCTGATATGGACTTTAAAGAACGTCCGATCAGCAAAATTCTTGCTGCAATAGTTGCAAATGTAACAATTACGTTTCTTGTGATACAATTTCATGTGTGACCGTAGTTGCTGGTACGCTTCAAAGATCTTCGGACACTTCCTGCACTTGTGGTATTCCTTGACTTCATGAATGATTACTTTGTCAGAGAATGAAACCCGTTTTTGTGGCTTGCAAATGATCATGTGCTTATTTTCCTGATGTTTCAAGAGCTTCCGTTTACTTGAGTACCCTTTGTCACAAATTTTACACTTCATAGTGGTCATTGTTGGACCTATTTCGCTGTCAGAGCCTGAGTCAGACTTGTATACAGTAGACTGACTCTTCTGAAATTCCTCCTTCAGCTTAAAGAGGTCCTGCCTCACAAGTTTTATAGAACATTTGTCAAAAAACCGGTGTTTTGACATTGGACCCCGAAGCTTACGTTTTAAACAAGACTTCTTGGCAGGTTCTTGATGCTTTACCTTCTGTAGGTAAGGAGTTATGTCGTAGCGCGCCACAACTACTCTGGGTAACTTCTCGAATCCACGAAAAGCGTTTTGTGGCGAGATATCTTCGTATCCGTCAAAAATGATACTTTTATCAACCACTCCTTCGATATCGCTGTTACTCTCTTCTTCTTCTTGTTTATCTCCATTTCTTATGGACATCAGAGGGCAAAATAGACGCGGGAAAATAAAATAAAAAGAAAAAACTAAGGATATTATTAAAAACGTCAACAACAGCCCAGCTTGTCATACTATGAGAAATAAATTCATTCAGAGGTGAGAGGTGGCCATCATTTTTTACAGAAACAAAACCGGTTATTGTCTTTTGTGTTGTGGATATTTAATTATTTATCTTAAACGATTTATTTATTGATTGATTCAATAAACGTCCTTTTTAATTTTTACTAAAGGTCCTTTTGCTATCATTATACATTTTTTATATTATCAAATTGTATTTGAAATGAAAAACCGTAAATTCTCTTGTAAAAATGTGCTTATCTGTGGACACATTTGTGTTGTGCGTTCTGATACCATCATTAAGAGGATGTAAAGTATTAAATGTCAAACTATATTAAAATTAATTATTGTCTAAATAGTGATTAAATTTTGAAAATAGTTTTAAACAGATTTTTTCATATAGCGACTTTACTTCTAAATATAAGATTTTATCTTGTGAGATATAAAAACGGAATATTTTATATTACTTCACGTAAAGATGTGTTTTTCTGTAAATATTTTCGAACGCATCCATACAATGCCCCCAGTTTTATTGGTTATGTTTTAGTTAGTACCGTTATTGTATTCTAGGCGCTACATCAATGGAATAAGGGCTATAATTCCATCAAATATAAATTCTTATTACATAATTTTTCCCACAACTGTTTATCTAATTTGATTTTTCTTATCCGTTGTAGGTACGTACTTCAAGTACATCACTCACTCCGGAAAATAATCAATCGTAGAGATTTTACGTAAACAATTTATTTTTAAGCGGCTACCGCGTTCGTTAACCAGTCAAAATGTTTCCGCCGACTCGAATAAGAAGTTGTCTTCCAGTTATAAATCCGATGTTTAGACAGAAACTACGTCCTCATAGGCCGTTCCGTCAGACGGCAACTGTACACGGTAGCCAAACAAAGACAGTTCAACGCAATAAATGGATGAGTTTCCGATCTATTATTACGAGATGGGTACCTCTAGGAAGTGCTATTTACGTTGGTTGGTGTTATATTCGTGCAAGCATCAATTACGAAGTATCAAAAGTCGAGATTTTGTTTTACGAAATGTTCCCTTTCCGTGTTACGAGCAGAATTTGGGGAAAACTAGCTGCTTGTGAACTCCCGACGTCTATTAGAAGTTTTGTCTACGGTACGTACATTAAAATGTTCAATGTGAACTTAAATGAAGCTGAATACACAGATCTGAAGTATTATAAAAGTTTATCCGCATTTTTCACAAGACCACTCAAAGAAGGCGCGAGATATATATCACCGTCGCCTTGTGTGTCTCCCTGTGATGGTGTAGTTTTAAACTGTGGGCCTGCAGACACAGATAAAATAGAACAAGTCAAAGGAGTAACATACAGCCTAGAGGAATTTCTCGGTGAGAATAAATGGAATAAAAAAAAAGATGACAACTATTACAATTCATTATTAAATAACAAAGATAATGTACTGCACCAGTGCATCATATATCTGGCTCCCGGAGACTATCATCGGTTCCATTCACCTTGCGACTGGACAGCAACATTCAGAAGGCATTTTTCTGGTAAACTTCTATCTGTAAACCCATGGTTAGCGAGGCTTATACCAGGGTTATTTGCGATAAATGAACGAGCTGTTTACGTAGGAGAATGGAAGCACGGTTTCTTCAGCATGACTGCAGTAGGAGCTACGAATGTTGGTTCCATAGAGATTTATAACGATCCAGAGTTACGGACGAACACAAAAGGCAAACGAAATAGGATCAACGAGGTTGACTTAGGACGTGTCGAATTGAAGAAGGGTGAGTTGTTTGGACAGTTTAACATGGGGAGTACAATTATATTATTGTTTGAGGCTCCCAAAGACTTCAAGTTTGATATGGCGTCTGGAGATAAGGTCCTTGTTGGGCAAGCGTTGTCCACAACATCAAAAGAACAGACTAGATGACCTGTTCGCTTTGATTTAGTTTATATAGCCCAGGTGGCTATGGTTTTCTACATGTTATCAGTGTTGCTATGATTTTTATAGTATTGTAAATATTTTTTTCAACTAGCAGCCATCATGTTTTTATTAAAGAGGTTTGTGTATTCAAATCCTGAGTTATTTCCCGGTATCCAATTTGGCTTATAATTTTCTTCTTAGATATTGACATCTAGATGGGATTCCTATAAGTTTCTGATAAGTTTATCTGACAGATAATGCAAACGAATTAGTATATATATTTTTATATTTAATAGATATTGAGTTACTAAGGAAAATCAGCTGATAAATATTGAATAGTATTCTAAACTTGTATGTTTGATTCAATTGTAAAAAAAAAAATATCAATGACTTAGAATAACCTTGTGCTTTGACAAATTTAAAAATAGACTTACTATTTTGTATCAAAGAAGGTAAGACAATTAATTCTTTGTCAGGAAACTTTATTGACTAGTTATCAATTGACTGCATGGCAAATCAATAATAAAACACTGTAATAAACTGAAATCAGCAGCAGAAAGCTCAAATACATTGTATTGATTATGTTAGGTGTCCAGACAAACTATGGTAGAGTTGACTGTCCAGGCAATACTTAATTAGGTATCGTCATGAGCTAATGGTGACATGTAAACAGCGACTCATGTAGTGTAGAGATTGTCCAGTCAACTGATGGTAGCATGGACTGTCCAGGCGATACGTACTTAGGTATCGTCATGAGCTAATGGTGACATGTAAACAGCGACTCATGTAGTGTAGAGATTGTCCAGTCAACTGATGGTAGCAACATTGGCTATTCAATCTACATAAGTAATTGGAGTTTCCGAGGCTAAAAATATGTTATGTTATAGAATGACTTATTTAACAAATGGCAAGTATACCCTATCAAATAAAAAAATAATTTTGCAAATCGGTCCAGGCGTCTTCGAGAAATCGGTGTACATACATAAAAAAATAAAAAATAGATACGCGTCGAATTGAGAACCTCCTCCTTTTTTGAATTCGGTTAAAAATAGTTGTACTCTCATTCATAGATTCTCCGTTTCGATCTCAGTTTTTTAGAAATAAATGTTCTATTTCAATGTAATAATATTATGAAGTCATAATATGTTGTGTAATCAATGCAAAATTCATAGAAAAATATATTTTTTTGACAATTCAATAAACATATTTGTATTAAATTTGATTAAGTACTTGGAACTTGGAAACTACCGGATGATTCCGGTTTGTGAATAACAAGAAATTATTAAAAAAAATTGAATGGCACAGATTATGTAGGTATTGTTATTATTATAGTTGATTTAACATTGACCCTATTAATTTTATTTGCGAATTGTGATAAACTCTCCCGTTGTGGTCTTTGCTATCTACATACTTTTATCTTTATTATAATTATTAAAACATAATTGTATTTATAAGAATACTAGCTTTTGCCCGCGACTTTTTTCGCGTGGAAAAGTGACTTCCTGTAGATTTTTGGATTAAAAACTATCCTATGGCCCTTCTAGAGTTCCAAACTATGTACCAAATTTCCCACAAATTGGTTCAGTAGTTAAGGAGTGAAGGAAAGACAGACAGACAAACAGACAGATAGACAGACAGACAGAGTTACTTTCGCATTTATAATATTAGTTTGGATTGCATATGTAAACTAGAGTGATACTACGGCCTCACAGAAAACCGGCGTGAAACAACCACAGCGTTGTTTCGCTTCCGGGGCAAGCAGAATAAGGGACCGCAGCCTCGGCTTAGAGCAGGATAAGGAACGAGGTAGTTTTAAGTCAATAAGAGTCAGACACGTTCCCTCTCCTCAACCTGGGCGAGAGAATTCATTTGATGTATTACCCCTCAAAAAAAAAGCTTTGTGTTTCACTGTAATCCTCAAATCTCTAGCACTGAAATAGCTGGCTACGTATTGGCAGTTCAATGGATGACAACCGCATCCCCAGAGGAACTGCCAGTGATTGCCTACCATCAGTTGACCTGCCTGGTCTTTCGATATACTTAAAAGCTAGCTACAATTAAAGTATTAGTAAAGAGTACATGCAGTAAAAACAGTTTTTTCTTTCTTTTCCTTCTTCAGTATAGTAAGACAGTGAACGAAAAAGAACTCCCCCTACTAACTACTCAAGAGTAACGATGGAGTTTCTTGCTCGTTATTCGCCATTCGAATCTACACTTTGGAATGAGGTACTAGCTTCACTGACGAACATACTGACTGACTATTATTTTAATTCTTGTCAAAAAATATAGAAAAAAACAATCACGTGTTCAGATATCGGTCATTTATTTACCAGTTACCCTAGATAAGCCCCCAGTATGACTTGAAACTCGTCGAGCTATCTCGAAATTACTCGAGTAAGCCGTTAAACATAACAAAAATTTACGATTTCTCAGGTTTTCTCTCTTTTAAACGTTTCGTAATAAAATATGATGGTTGTTAGTTTATTAAAAGAATATTCTAGATGTTCATCTGTTAATTACGTAACAGATTTTTTAAGAAATTTAAATAAGAAATGCTTATAAGCTAATGTGAATCGTGTGTGTAATTAAAAGACACACTGTAACTTCGAATAAAGTAATTATTAGCATTTATTTTTAACATAAACGGACAGCCTTATTACAAAACAAGGTTTTTCTTTAACCTAGGTCTAAACCATTGGCGCCAATTTTTGTATTTCGATATGGAGATAGGTGAGAATAAGATTCGAAATTCGAAACTTGACTCAATGGCTTAAACCTAGACTAACACCCGGTTTCTGAAAGGCTTGTCAACGCTAAAATTAACTAATCTCTTGTTAAATCTCTTGTCAAATCATCTGATTGGTTGTTGATAATTCAGTCAACCAATCAGATGAATTGACAAGAGATTAAATTGATATTAACATTGATCGGCCTTTCGGAAACCGTGTGTAAAGATAAGTCTGGTTTTGTAATAAGGGGGGATACAGATTAAGTATATATTACTGAACAAGTATCCCTCTGTTCAGAAAGGCCTCTGTAGACCTTCACGGCCATTTTACACAGATAATTCAAGCTTGAAGTTACAGTGTATCTTTTGATATCGACGTTGAAGTAGATAGAAATGCTCTTTTATCGATCTCGACAATTTTATCGATATATTCGACTACCTGACCAGGCATTTGAGTGCAAAACTATTTTTATAGTCGATTACTTGATGGTACTTCACTATTTGATAATCTAGTACCCTCATTTTTCTTGAAAGTATTTGTAGTCAAAATGGTACTTATATACCATAAAATGCGGGTAGTTTAACATTTTTCAAATGGGTACTTAAAGATTTAAAAATAGCATATTATTGGAGTCGCCATTTTATTTTATTTAAGTCAGGTAGTAAAAGGAAACGAGGTTTGACATTTATCGCCGTTATTTTTAAACTAGTCTAGGTTTTTTTAAGAATTTTGCGAGCAAAATCTGTTTTTATGTCTTCTTGTGTTCTGTGTGACGAATCGACCTTATGTCGTAGAAATTAAAGTGCAATTCGCGATGGTTCAAATGTTTTTGATATTTACAAGTATATATATATTTAAATGAATAGATATTGGTGTTTATAAAATGCTTATTTACGTGTTAAAATCATAGGAGACAAAATTACCTCAAAGGGGACTAATTGATGAAAAAAAAACTAAAATTATCCACTTGGCTTATGTTTGTATTGCAATAGGTAATACAAAGTAAATTCTAGTAAATTCTCATGCTAAAATGCTGTACAAGTTTCAGGATTTTTGCAGAGATTCTGACATAGGTGGTCCATGATGATAGTACCTTCTTAAAACTAAAGTCTGCTTAGTTCTGCTCTATTTACCAACTGTTCGGTTTTTTTTTGTTTTCTTAAGCCTTTGACTGCCGACCGAAAACTATTGAAGGCAAATCCTCCGCCACCGTAGGTCAACGGTGACCTACGGTGGCGGTTAACGTGTTAATTACAATATGCTTCGTGCTTTCGTGTTGATAAGCGCTTATTTCGAGAACGGTTAAACCGATTTCGCTAGTTCATTAGTTGTTGTGATTGTTATTGATACGAAAATCTATGATAATCTGGAAATAACAACTCTTTATGAGTACATGCCCTGGCCGTTTAGTTGGACATCCGTTCGAAGCAGGGATTTGTGAATCTGTGACTTCAAATCCCGATAGTGCCATTCAGCGACCGAACATGTTTCGCGAAAAATATTCGCTATTTAGTCTCCGTAATAAAGGTTCAAGGCCATTAAACATCCGATGTGAAGTGTCAAATTGATTGAAGAAACACTGATCTCATTAATTGACTTATATTACAGTCTGAAGCAAAAATGAGTCAATGTTGTTTTTGAAAACTAATGGTAGGTACTTCTCTATACTAGTTAGCGTATTAAAGCATTTTCTTACCTTTGGCACATGCGCAAACAACAACAGTGCTTTATCGCCAAAAGATTAAAATATAGGACAAGTGATTATTAAGTTTTGGTCTTTTGAATGACACACTTTTTTAATCCAAGGAATGATTTTGATTTAGACGTTCACTTTAGTTAAATGAATAACGGATCCAATTTAGTAATAATTAATTCTATTATGTAAATCAATCTTGGTATTTGACAATAACTAGCATTACTTTTGCGTGCGCCCTGCTTCGGCATGGATGGGTCGGCTCGAATGGAGTGATACGACGGTCTCACAGAAAACCAATGGGAATAGCGTTGTGTTTTGCTGTGAGTTTTTGAAAATTATATCATAGATAACGAATTATGCATTTTTATTTTTTATGAATCACTAATGTCAGAATCTAAACTAAATCCTAATCGAAGGTCATAGCAATATGTTATCTCCGTCTGGCGAAAATCTTACTAGAGATTTTCCAAGTCGGAGTGAAAAATAAAACAAAGTTTTTTTTACGAAATAAAAAATATTTGTATCATATACTTAATGCTTTTGATATACCTATTAGGTAAAACAGACATATAATATAATAATGACCCCTAAGTTTTGGTAACTTTAAATGTCTTAAAAAGTACAATTACAAATGTATTTCGGAGTTCAGAGAATGTGAAATTGTTTATATAAATGTCAGAAAACCTAAGGTTTATGGGTATTTTATTGGAAAAAAGTAATGCACCAATCAGGGATTTTATATTTTATACTCGTACTAGCTTTTACCAGACATTGGTAGACTATATGTTATCCAGACTATAGTGTATCTCTTTTTTTTATTATAACTTTCGTGAGACATTCTAAATTATTTATTATTGCTTCTGACACAGTAGTACTGACACACTAGTACAGTAGCAGCGCGACAGTCGCCGAGTCGCGTGTCGCGGAATGCTGCTCATGAATATGGGCCTCTAGCATGGCTTGAAACTAGTCGGGTATCTCGTCAAATTATTACGTGAGTAAGCCGAAAACATAATAAATAATATAGTGTATCTCTTTGACAATTTTGATAAGAATCCATTTAGCACTTATTAGTTGAAAGAGTAACAAACATCCATCAATATTTA